CCCCCCCAGTCCCCTGGCCTCAGCTGCTGTTCCTCATACTCCTGAGTGAACACTGGGCTTCTCTAAGTGCTTTATCATGCCTAACACGAGGCCAAGTCCGAATAAGTGAAATGTGGGACATGAGATCTGGCTTCGCCAGGGACTACTGGAAAGGCTAGGCAACACAGCTCCAAACTGGGGAAAGAACCAACGCACCCTGGAGAGAACATCGACAAGAGGACAGGAAAGAGCCAGCACATAAATTCCCTTTCCTTCTCTCACACTCTGAAGTGTGAAGGATCCACTTGGCCCATCTGGAAGACATGCTGTGTAATCAAGCAAAAGGCTGCCTTTCTCGGTGACGCTGCGGCTAGGTTGGTAATACACCCCCTTACATGTGCTTTCCTGCCTGCCTGCCTTTTCTTCTCACTCTGGCTGCTTTCATAACTACTGCATGTGCCAATTAAGCCTTAGCACACAAACTCTGCCCCAGATACTTTTTTCTAGGGAGTCCAGATAACCACTTTGACCCAAATCCCCATTTCCTACCTCATCTGTGGAAGGATCTCATAATCTCCATGAAGTGTTTGGGCCCAAGGCTCAGCACCCCTTCCCTTGGAGCCTAGACCCACAGTGAGGGTCGGCAGCCCTTCGGAGGTTACCATTGTGGGTGGAGCCCTAAACCAGGTGCTCTGCATGAACACAAAGCCAGCAGAAGGTAAATTTCTCAGGTGAGCTTCTGGGGCAAAATGGTTCTCTAAGGCCCCTGGTATCACCCACGGGGATCGTCTAAAAGGACAACTCTGTAAGCAAAGAGCGGCGTCAAGGTGGAATCTCCAAAATTAGGAAGGCATTTAGATCCAGAAATGATCCCTATCTGTAGAACGGACTAATGTTCCTCCGACTTCATATCGAACAGATGAAAAAGAAAAGTAACTTTTACACTTTTGTGTGCCCATCTGTTGGCTATGTCATTTGAAAAAAAATCTGGGGTCATGAAGCCCATGTGGGGTTGAGGCATTTTTAAATCCCCCCAAACAGGAGGGTTGTGGAAACATCAGGTGCTGTTGTTACCACTGAGTGAGACCAGGGCCTGGGGTCAGCCACGGTTTCTACTCTGGCTTCTTCCAAAAATCTGTCACACTTCGAATGTGGTAACTTTATCAGGCAGGGGCCATGGAGAGGCCGTGTCTGCGGCCAAGGCGCGGCTGAAACTCGAGTGTTCCCAGGGAGGGGCCCTGGCTGGTCCCCCAGCGGGGAGCTGCTGGCAGGGGGCAGAACCGGCCAGAGCCCGCAGCAGGAGAGGGAGCGGGCCTCCACTGCAGGTGTGAGAGCCCACACTCTCCTGGGAAAGCACAGGGCCTGCAGGGCGGCTGCCCCCCGGCCTCCTTTCCTCCCCCATCCAGCAGGAGGCCATCTTCTCAAACCCCGCTCCCTCCTGTTCCTGGGGTCCATCTCCTCCCCTTCCTCTCTCTGGTGCGGCCTGGTGCCTACAGGCCTCTGCCATCCGTCGCGCACAGAGCCGCTCACACCAATCTCGTGACCTCCAGCTTTGCTTCGCCCTAATCCAGTCTAGGGACAGGCAGTCGCCGTGTCAGAATCACGGGGGCGGGGCTAGTGCCGGAGTTTGAAATGCAGATTCTCAGGCCCCGCCCTAGTGAATGAGGCGCCGCGGGGTGGGGCCAGGAACAAGTAGTTTTTAACAAGCTCTCCAGGAGATTCTGCTGCAGGCTAAGCCAACCTGTCCTTGGCTGCCCATCTCACCCCGGCTTTAGGTGCTCGGCTGGGAGACCGGCTGGGGGGTGGGTGTGTCTAGACGTGCCAGGTGAGCCGGTGAGAATGGCCCACCTGAGGTCTTACCTGAGGGACCCAGACGCTGCCCGGCCTGGGAAAGAACTCTTGGCAGTGACCATGACAGACTGGACTGTGTGAGGAGGACAAGCCTCAGCGACTGGCTGAGCAATGGCTGGTAGCTGACACCAAACTGAGGCCCGGCGCGACACCTGGACCGGCGTCTCACGTGAGGGAGCTTGAGTAAGAGCGGGAAGTGCGAGCGCACCAACGCTAACGCGCATGCGCACACGCGGGCGCGCAGTACTTTCTAGAGGCCCTTTGTGGAGGGCGTCTCTCGCGCTTGGCAGAAGGGTGATCCTAGTCCCGCGAGGACTCCGGGCCTCTGTGACGAGACCAGGCTGGCGGAGGCGAAGACCACATGGAAGGGCAGCAGCGCCTGGGAAGGGACGAGGAACCTCCCTGCCTTCACGTGAAGCGTGCCCCACCTCCTTCCACGTCTCACCACCGCGACTGCTTCAGGGTCCTCACCCTGTGTGCCCAGGAGCCACCCTGACCTCAGTCATTCCAGACTGAACCTACCCCCCCCCCCCCCCCCCCCCTTGCAGGGGCTGAGGCTGCGACTTCTGTGGTAGACAAGACAGTTCGTGGTGGGAGAACTTGAACCCTTGTGGGAAAACCAGAGCCGGGGCTAGAGGGAGGAGAGCAGCCAACATGCCGCATCCACTACGGTAAACTAACGAGGACACCACGCACACACTACAGACAATATTTGTGAAATGTGTTCATCTTTATTAATTTCCACTAGAATGCGTAGGACGTGTTCAGGATCTTTCCCTAGGTTTTATTTTATTTTTTAATGTTTATTTTGAGAGCGAGCAAGCGCATGTGTGAGTGGGGGAGGGGCAGAGAGAGAGGGATAGAGAATTCCAAGCAGGCTCCATGCTGTCAGTGCAGAGCCCCAAGTGGGGCCCAGACCCAAGAACCTAACAAAACCGTGAGATCATGACCCGAGCCAAAATCAAGAGTTTGAGGTTTAACAGATGAGCTACCCAGGTGACCCTATTCCCTACATTTTAAAGGAAATCCTTGCAAATTAATTTTGCTTTGCTCCATATGTTATACACCCTAAGGCACTGTCCTTGTTCGTTTTCTCGTTTCTTTCTTTGTTTAAACATCACTCTGATTTTTTTTTTTTTTTTTTTTTTTTTTACAAAGAATGGTTAGCTGCTGTACTGCTCACAGGTCCCACAGCATCGCCTGGGAAAACGAGTAACTTGGATGTTGGGAGACAGAAAACATGCAATTGTCCTCCTGCCAGGGTCACGGAGTCCTCCCTACCTGAGAGCCTGGCACCAAAGCTCATGCCATCTCTGCTTGCCTCCTCTTGGGTCCCACCCACGTTCAGATCCAAGGCCGGAGTCTACCGTCCTCTCTGTGGCTGTTAGAGCTTCCTCGTCCAAGCCCAGAAGGGGAGGGAGAGCTGCTGGGACCTGGCAGCCCCTCTCCCCCGCCCCACCTCCCAGGCCTCGGCGGAGTTGGGGTGTGGCCCTGATGCTGCCCACCCCCTTCTCTGGCTCCCCCGGTGGCAACATGTAGCTCACCTCCACAGAGAGGGGGGCGAGTGTGCCCTTCTCCAACTCTCACAGAGAAAGGCAGTCCACAGATGGGCTTCAGCCCCCCAGCAGGTCACAGAGCCCACTGTCGGACTCATCTCTTGGCCAAGAAGGTGGAGGCCGCGACTAGTCACCGCTTCATTCATCTCCTTACTCTCCTCTTCCTATAACCCCGTCTGGACAGGGTCATATTGGAAAAATGTAAATTGGTCTTCCTGCTTCCCTGCTTAAGACCTTCCGATGACTTCCCGCTCCTCTGGGAAGGGAATCCGATAAATCCGGCCATGGCTTGGAAGGCCCCATGACCTGGCCTCTGTGACTTCTACTCACTCCCCTTCTACAGTTCAGCTGTATTGGCACCTTCTTGCTTGTCCTCAAATTCATCCAGCCCCTTCCTGCCCTGGGGCCTTAGGGCTTGGTCTACCTGGAGTGCTCTCCCCATGGAGCTTCCCATGGCTGGCTCCTTCCCTACTAAGAGGTCTTGACTTCAGAGATGCCTTCCTAATCACCTATTTAAATAGCTCCCCTGCCTCTTCATCACACCCATTCCCCTTAGCTTGCTTTATTTTCTTCATAGCACAGATCACCATCTGCCACTCTCACAATTACGTACCTCCTTGTTTGCAGACTGGTCCCTCTGACCAGAATGTCAGCTCCAAGAGGCCAAGGACCTGCAATCCTTGTTCATGGGTGTGTCCCCTGACCCAGCCCAGCACCTGGTACAAAATTCCTGTAAAACAAATGCTTACTGTGAACAAATGAATCCAGACCTTGAAGTGAGGTGGCTTGGGGCGGCTGGGCCATGCAGTGGCACACCCGCCTGTGGGCACTTGGAGCCAGCAGATAACCAGAGCTCCCAGCACATGAACATCGTTTCCTGGTGACAGTGTGGGAGTCAGCCACCAAAGGCGGGTGTTCTTCTCTGCCCCGCTTCCCATTTTCTTGGTCTCCTTCAAGTTTCCAGCTTTCCTCAAATTCTCTGCCTTTCTCAGATCCCTTCTCATTCAAACCACTCTCATTCTTTTGCTTTTATAATACCTATCACACAGGTAAAGCCGTGCCCACGCTTTATTGGCAGTTGAAAAAGCTATTAGATCTTAACCTGCCTTGTAATACACGGGTAGTTTCCTTAGTTGTTGTCAAAAGTTGGAAGTCTTTTTCTTTGGGGCTATTTACAAACCTAGTGCAGTTCCTACTTACATGAATTTGTCCTAAAACACATCTTGTAAAGTGATACAATGCATTTATACAGTTCCTTTGTTAAGCAGCTCTCAAACCATGTAAAATGAGAAGTTCAAAGGAAAATAAGCTGACATTTAGATATTTAACCAATTTTCTTTTGCGTTCCCGTTCATGTTCGTCTGCAATATTATGAATTTCACACACACACAAAATTCCCTTCCACAGTATCAATTCTTAATTAAGTGAACACCATTGCTGTAATTTTCTGATAAATAAAATGAGCATTTCCACACAAATTAGAAATGCCAACTTGTTAATAGCTTCCCTGAGGTTTTGTTACAAAATCATCACTGTTCCGGTCATTGTTCAGGCATAATAAATACTACACTACAATCTGGAAACAAGCATTCTCTTTGGGCAGTCGATTCCCAAGTGCAGACTGGGTGTTCCGTAAGACAGTGAGTTTCCCCCTCATTCCTATTATAATACATGACAATAGTTCATTGGCCAGAAAAATACTTGATGTTATTTTAGTGAAGCTCGCCGAATTTGGATCAGCTGGGAGACGAAGCTGGCCTGAACATAATACAATTAGAAAATGTACAACCTTAAATACCAGACAGTGAAGTTTTTTTTTTTTTTATTTTTTTTAAAATATTTTTTTTTCAACGTTTATTTATTTTTGGGACACAGAGAGACAGAGCATGAACAGGGGAGGGGCAGAGAGAGAGGGAGACACAGAATCGGAAACAGGCTCCAGGCTCTGAGCCATCAGCCCAGAGCCTGATGCGGGGCTCGAACTCACGGACCGCGAGATCGTGACCTGGCTGAGGTCGGACGCTTAACCGACTGCGCCACCCAGGCGCCCCAGCCAGACAGTGAAGTTTTAAGGGCACAGAGCACATTGCGCCTGTAGCTGGGTAATTTGGGCAAGGTGCCAAGGGCCTCAGCTTCTTCATCTGTGAAATGGCTGTAATACTAGTATCCGGTACTCCATAGGCCTATGGTGAGGGCCAAACGTCTGGAAGGCACTCAACCAAGGGCCCACATGTAATAAACACCTAACAGATGTTCCCTGTTGTTGTTAGGCTTAAAAGGACACTGTAATTATTGCCTGATGAGCACGAAATGCAATTTGCTCCCTTTCAACAACTCAGAGTGCTCCCCAAGTCCTTCCAAGAAGAGATCCTGTTCTGTCTTCTTCAAAGAACAGATGACTCATTTATAATTCATGGCACATTCACATACCAACAATTATTGTGCTGAAGTCCTTTAAAGAGCTGATTGCTTAATTAAACCTAACATTCCCCTTGTACTCTTGTTTGTTCTCTGAGTTTTCTTAGTAAATCTTTTAAGTGTGTAGAAGAGAGTGACAGTCCAGGCTAACTGTGTGTACCTGCCCACATTTTAATGGGTGGTGCCTAAAAGGATGAAGTTGTGTGCATTTTAAATCACTATAGCAGCATACAGAACACTTACAACACATAACGCACATTTGTTTGAGACGGAGCCTTGGTACATTCTCAGTTCAGTGTCAGTTGCCTTTCTCTCCTACCTGCCACTACCCCACCCCCGCCCTTTGCCTTAAACTCCCTCATTTAACATTACTCTCCACCTTGGAACAATCTTTGAATTCATCACAGGGACCTGTCATTTCCACTTTGTTTTTCTTAAGTTCCTTATTCAGAACTTCCCCATGGTTTTCCTTTTAAGCTAGGCATTTCATTTCTTTGGAGACTCGTTTCTTGGCTCCAGATGGGTTTTAGCCATAGCAAGATGAGGGTTAAACACAGCATTCAGGGACTGAGCCAGCCGGGACATACCCAAGCTGCCTCCGACATGTGTGGGACCTGGAGGAAGAGTTACTGGCAGCCCGCATTCCTCCTGCTGGGAGACCTCTCCCGCCCCTCCCACTCCAAGCCAAGCCCCAGGCAACTGCTGCCCATTGATCTCATTGCCTCTCTCAGAGAACAGAGGCTGGAAAGTCCAGTTCAAATGTAGAATTCTTGGCCCCTTTGAAACTCCATACTAGAATGTGGTGACACCGGGAGGCAGTCCCTGGTGCCCGGTCTGCAGCCCAGCCCTTTTTTCTTCCCAGGGGAGAAGAAAGGCTCTGGGGCCATGAAACCTCTCTCGTACAGGTGTGTGGACACCCAGTTCTGCATCCCAGCAGACTCTGCGAGTGGCCGCCCCTGGCCATTCCATGGACTGGCAACATGGTCCACCCAGGGAAGATACACCTGGGATGCCAGGAAGAGGTCCTGGGTCCTGGAAAATGTTCTAGAAGGGAGGGTATGAGCTTATCCCTTGAAAGGGATCTCTTGCCTGGATCTAAAGGCAGTGCTTACTAGAATTATCATTTTCACAGAAGATGTAGTCCCTGACCCCACACTGGGTGCTGGAGAACGAAGTTTAAGCAAATATAAGAATGGATTGTTTTGAACACTGTGGAATATCCTACACATTATAAAAACTTTAGATGAGGTCGAAGACAGGAGAGAGCTTCGATGCTAGCGTTGCTACAAGAGCCTGCCTGGAGGAGGTGGGACCTAAACCGGGTCTCAAACAAAGTAGAGGAATATCTGTTATAGTTTTAATTAGAATTTAGGATGGCCTTCTTCTATGTTATTGTCAGTCTCATCATGTATTTTTATGGGACCTTTTTAAAAGTTTTTGTCTGGAAAACCATTTGGGCAAGACCTCCGCTTTCGGCCCACCTTATTTCCAAAATGTCCAAAATGAAGACATCCTCCTTAAAGACCACCACTCCCTGTCTCGCACTACAATGGTTTCTAACACGTTTAGATCAACTGTGCCACACTTGAGGGCCAAGATGGTTTCAGATGTTTCAGAAGCAAAATGTCTTGCCCGAGACAGGCTGCTTTGAATTGTGCCAACACTACTCAGGTGCTTTCCTCCCGGCCTTTCAAGTGTGGCCCAGAATTGTCCCCTTGGTCATCTGCTTGGTGTTATGACAAGTAACAAAGCAGAGTGGGAATGCTTTGGTTCTCTCTTTCTCTAAAATGCCATTCCGGGAAGCCCCGATGGTGACTTGAGACATAAATCCCAAGGCTCCGTGCAGCTGTCCTGTGGATACTTGCTTCCCCACCGGCTGGGCTTGT